CGGCCGCGGCCCGGCGCCGGGCCCGGGGGAGGTGGGCGCGAAGGCCCGTCGGGCGCCTCTCCAGAGCGAGCAGGCAGCGCGAGGGTGGGGCCCGGTGTCCTCGCCGAGGGAGCCGCCCCGCCGCACGCGCCCCTGGGCTGCAGCGCCCAGGAGGCCTCCTCCGGAGGACCGGCGCAGCCACGCTTTGCCGCCCTGTTCTCGGAGCCGGCTGCTCGGGGCCGCCCGGGAAGGCGCGCACCCCCTGCGGGCAGCGCGCACGCGGACTCCTGCAGGTGTGCTGGCCCCGGGCACCTCTCCGGCTTCGCCCGGCCCTTTGAGAGCCAGCATTTCCCACGCGTTGGCTGCCGCTCGCCCTCCCGTTTGGGGTCTTTGCCCACCCTCGCGGATTTTAGGAGTTCTTGACAAGAAAGTTACATTACCCTTTTTCTCTCCTACGGGCACATTCTTTTCCTCTTTCAAATATCTAAGGTCCCAAAACAATTTATTTTGTAATTGGCAGTGCGCGCTGCGCAGAAGGCAACATTTTAAAGGTGAGAAAACACAGATGGAAAAGTCACTTTCCCGTCTGCCTCCGCCCTTGCCACCCAGCTCTGTCCCCTGGAAGCAGCGAAGCCCCATTCTCCCTGGACCCTCCACAGCCGCTCTGCACACACTAAAGCACATGTGTGTGCGTGTGCGTGCATGTGTTCCCTGAGGCCTCTCTGGTAAAGGCTACGCTCCATCTTTTCTCATTGAACAAGGTGGTGGAGACCGCGCTGCCACAGCTCCCAGGGTGCGCTTCTGCCCAGGCTGGCCACCCCTTTCACTGCTGGGTGCTCACCGCACCAGCCTCTGTCTGGTCTTGGTGCAGCAGCTGCACTGAGGCTTTTAAAATATCTATATATTTAACATTATTTTAAGTTTGCTGCTGTGCATGTGCGTGTGCCAGAGCACGTGCCGCCAGGTCTGGGGCTGGAACCGCTGTCAGCCACGTGGGAGTCCAGCGCCTTCACCACTAGGAAGAGAGGCCAGGTGGCACATGGCCGCTGCTCGAGAGCCATCACTGCTGGTGGGTTCTCCTTTCCCCTGCCCTTCCCTCCTTACTTCCCGACTCCATCCTTCCCCCTCAGGTCCGAAGTTTCTGATCGGCCTTGCTCACGTGCCATTTCTGAGTCAGTGGAGACCACCCCGTACAAGGGCAGCAGGTCTGACCCCCTTCCCACTGTTTCCTGGCACCTCGCACCTCGTCTGACACGTCCTTCCAGTCTTCCCCCACAGCAGTGCCGGCTGAGTGGGCACTGGGAGGGTTAGGGCAGACACAGGTGACAGCCACCTCTCCGTCCACTCTCCCGTCTGTGGAGACATGGTGCAGCCCTTAGTTAAGCAGCCTGTTATCGAGAGCTCGTAGCTTCACTATATTCACACGTACATATTTTGGGTTGCTGTAGGGTGTGTGTGCTTGCTGGGGAGAGAGCAAGAGTGAGAGAAGGCACCTGAGGGAAGATGGCATGCTGCAGTCTCTGCTCCTCCACTCTCCTGGGATTTTGTTCCAGCCGTGCGGTCCGGGGCTCACCTCGCAGTCAGCCCTGTGGGACCCAGCCACCCTACCCTCCACACCACGGGCCGGCCTGGATATTCACATCAAATGGGACGCTGCTCTGCCTGCTTCTGTGTGCACGGCGTCTCATGCGAGCGTGTGCTCCCAGACTGTGGCAGCTGAGCCGCGGGTGAACAACCTCAGCCCGATGGCACCACGGAGGACTGCCCACAGCAGCCGTGCAAAGGGTGAGAGTCGCAGTTGTCTTTGCCAGTTCGATGGGCGGACACAGCCCACGGAAGGTGAGGGCGTTCGCGAGTGACCGGGGAAGGTAGGCTTTCCTGGCGCTCTGGAGCTGCTGGTGAGGCCCTGGTGACTGGCACCCTGTGTTCACGCAGGGGTGAGTGCAGGTGCTGGAAGGAGTCCCTTCCCATCACCTCCCCCCAGTGGGGCTAGAGCAAGCAGCCAGCTTGGGAGAGGGTGCACCTGTCCCAACCCCAAACCTGACATGGGGGGGAGTGAGCTGGAGGAAGGGGGGCATTCACCTCTCCCACAGATTCCTGCTGGGCAGGACAGTACTGAGCTGTTTTTTTTGTTTTAAATCTGGCCGCACTCACAGGGCATCACCAGCCGGGCTGCTTCAGTGGCTGCTGAGTGGGCAGAGGCGCTGGGACGCTGGTCCTGCGGTCTGCAAGAGCGGGACCCAGACTCAGAGGTTTGCACAGGAGCTCCACACAGCCATCCCCAGGTCTGGCCTCACCTTTACCTGCAAGGGCATTGGGGGGCCAGGGTGCTCTGACCTGGCCAGCATTGCCGGTGTCACCATCCACTGCTGCAGGACGGCCCCGGGACCCACAGGTCACACAGGCCTCAGGCCTCAGGCCTCGAGACAGGAAAGTGAGCCCAGCTGCCACCACGGGGGTGGGGTGGAGGGTGGGGGGTGAATCTCGGGATGCACAGGGCTGGCCGGGCGAAGGCAGGTGCTCAGGGGTCACCAAGGGCGTGGGCTGGGTCCCACTGGGCCCCCCCACTAGCCGGCGACCTTGCTCAGCCCCTGGGTCCGTTTCTGTGTAACGGCTGTTTCTTAGGTCCCGCATAGCCGTGGGACACACACAGCTTCTGGCTTCTGTGTCGGAGCCTGCCAGTCATCCGGGGACCCAGACGGCGTGACCACACTCGGCCTCGCTCCTGGTCTCAGCTTGCCCCTCGCTGACCTGAGGGCAAGTTTCCCTGCGGAGGCGACAGCCTTGTCCACGGTGACCTTCCAAGGACAGGGCGCAGGCTCCTGGCCAACGCCCCCGGGGCGAGCCTGGCCCTGCCACCTCAGCCCGTTGTCCTCGGGGTTCCCTCGTGCCTTCCCGGAGCGCGGTGTCGGGCAGGCTGAGTACAGAGGAGGGACAGTCCCCGCCCTGTCCTCCCCTCCAGCACCCACTCACCCCCCGACAGCGTTCTGGGTCCTTTTCTGTACCAGGGCCCTGTCCTGTCCCCCCTCGACAGCTGCTCAGATTGGGCTCTGACTCTGAGGGTGTGGGTCACCCCTGCGGCCCCCGCACTGGCCGCAGCTCCCCGTCCCCTGCTCGCCGAGGCCCCGGCATTTGAGGCTGTTCTGGCTCCTGCAGGAGCGGCAGCTGCTGTGCTCTGAGGCGGGGACCCTACGACTTTGTGGAGGTCGACGTGCTGGGGTATGTGTATTTTTCGACTCCAAGACCCTATGTGAAGGAGGTTTTGTCATGGTCTGGGCTGCTGCTCACAGGAGACCCCCCTCCACAGCCCCCGCCGCCCTGCTCTCCCCAGTGCTCTGGTAAAGGTCTGGGCGGGAAGACGAGGCTGCCGACACCCAGCCTGCTAGCACCTCAGGGCCGACCCCAGCGGCACGGGCACACGGCAAGTTCCAGGCCGAAACATGGGCAGTGCAGGGGTGCAAGGGCGAGAGGCGAGACAGGAGACACGAGAGGGGGCTCGGGCATGCTCTGTCCACCTGGGAGCAGCGGAGGCCGCTGAGGCAGGGAGCGGGCCCAGCGTGGGGTGGTGCTCGCTGATGCGCCCTGTGATAGGCGCGCCTGCCCCTCGCAAGGCCTCAGAGCAGACCAGGGTGGTGGGTAGATTGGCTACTGTGGGTGCAGCCTGGTGTGCTGGCGGCCGCGGCCCCGGGCAGCTCTTCAAAGGGTGTGGCGCCAATTTAGTTATTGATTTTTTTTTTTCTGGTTACAAAAATAACTAATGCTCACCAAGTAAACAAACAGATAAAGAGCTGCTGGGGAGGGGGAATTCTGGCGACCGCGAGGGACTGTTCCAGAAACACGCCCTCCAGGGCACCTCGCGCTCATTAGCCCCGCACCACCCACTGCCCCTTCTGGCAGTCTCTGCCCACCTGTCACCCGTCCTGTCTGCTTAGACCCAGGCGGGGTCCAGGAGCTGCCAAGACCAGCCCTGAAGCCCCTCCTGGGCTCTGGAGGCTGAGTCTGCATCTCAGGTCCTCCCTGGACGACGCCGGTCGCCGGAGGCTGAGAGGTGCCGCCCCGGGCCCCGCGGCCTTTCCAGTGGCTTCACGGGTACGATTTCTGTGCCCAGTCTGCTAACAGGAAGGGCTCGGTTGTTCCCCTGCCCTTGGTAACACGGCCTAGCTGTGTTAACAGCCGCGTGTCCGGTGGCGAGCACCGTTCCACCCAGGTGCAGATGCGGGCTGCTGTGCTGCCACCGTCCCACTTCGGACACGCACGGCTCTTTCCTTTTAAACATGTTATTTTTATTTTTATTTATTTTAATGTTATTTTTAAAAACATCATGCTAAGATCGGTGCAGTTTTTCTTTTCTTTTCTTTTCTGCCATAGGACACGTGCACTTGCTGGAAAAGTGAGGAATCACCCCAGGGGCATGGCCACGCCACAGTCCCTTCTCCATTCTCCTCCTGGGATTTGGGGCACGCACGCACATGTGTCTGGCGTGATTATCAAGCGGCCATGTCCAGGACTCAAACAGCGGTCAACCCTGTGGGAGTCCAGCACCTT